AGTCAGCGCCAGACTGATTCTGCCTGTGGTGATGTTGCTCTTGGCGAACTTGTCTAGTGTCCACTGTGCTCTTTCGGTATTTTTCTAATGTCTTTTTCCTGTGCTACAAAACTGCCCCACACTATCAGCCACACCACTTCGGCACAACTCAAACCACCACTGCTCCACCATGCACGTGCTCCACTCCTCTGCCTACCAGTCATCATCAGCCACACTTCCTCAAACCCCCAGCAGTTTCAGTTAAAATTAAACATTAAAAAGCCTTTTTTCAACTTCCACCTGTGAGTCTGTATCTGCTCTTTGGGGCTGTTAAAACACCTCTTGTCCACCTTGCATTCGCACCTGAAGCTGACGGTACACTTGTAGTAGTGGAAGCTGAAGAAGTGTACAGTAGGTCAACTGGGAGAGGGGAGGGTGGATGGTTGGAGTGACTAAGGGAGCAGACAAATAGTAACATCTGTCTAATGTTGTTTTTGTCCAGGCGCAGAATTAGCATGTTTGTTTTGATTTTTATGGTGAAGGAAACCTACGCAAATATGGGGAGAACATGCAAACTCCACAAAGAAAAGCCCATAATGACAGAGATTCGAACCCAGGACCTTCTTGCTACAAAGCCACACTGATGTCCACTGGGCCACCATGCTGCCGTAAAGTTGTTTTTTAATATTACCAATTGAACCTTTAACTGGAAGGATGACTTTAAAATGTTTTTGAATGATTTTGTTTGTCTAAAGGACGTGAATTCAAACTACCCAGATAAACTGTTTTGGTTTTATCATCCATTTGTGTCCCTTAGGTTAGCCTTTAAGTATAAAAATAGACAATGGACAAAACACTTCTTGTTCACACACCAAAACGTACCCTTTAATGTCTAAGGTCATTCCACTGCAACAGCCCCTTTCCTTCCAACGTGCTGAAGTTTGGAAACTGCTGTGAAGTGCATTATGATTTAGAACTCAGTCATTCAGTGGAACTTCGCCCTCTGGTGACGGCAGACAACGTGACCACAGTTATTTCCAAAAGTATTTAATTTGTCATTTCATGAACACTTTAATTACCCGACCATATTACCAAACCACATTTAATTTTACAACCCTGTTTAAATGTGTCCATTAAACCCACTTTGTACTTTATATAAAATAAATTTACAGAGTCAAACTGAGATATACTTCAGAAACACCATAAGAGAGTGGTTAGATTTTAGTAATAATGCATGATAAATCTCATCTGGAAATAAGCTGACTCCTCTGTTATTCTTCATCATCAAAAATATGCAAAAAAAAATAGTTAAAGACAACAATTTTATTTACCTCTACATGAATTAACTAATGAGAACCAGTTAAAATGTCTTTACAGATTAAGCATCAAACACAAAAAAGCTAAATGCAAATGTTTCCTTTTCCAGTCATCACTGTAAAGGATTTCTTAAAGCTCCATGAAGCAATATTTTTCAGATGAATATTGAACCAAATGATGACTCCTCATAATGGTTAAGCTAACTAATTTGTTTTTGTGGCCACTCTCACCTCACAAGCTCACAGCTGACTGAACTTTTTTTGCTGATATTGTGCCTTTTAGTTTTCATAATGAACTTGTCCAATCCAGACTTTTAAGGCCCTTTCTGCCATCTTGTGGTCAACAATCACTTGGTTTTTCATTTGCTGATGCTCAAACGTTCACCATGAAACCCAAGATTATAGACAAAATCTTCCAATCTTCTTAAGACGAAGCAGACCTGGGGTTATGAAACAAAGGATAAAAACAGTGTCTAGTCACTCACACAGTTTCTGCACAAATTACACGATCACTGAATTTAAAAACGGCATTGAGAATGAACATGGTACATACCTGAAACAAGGCAGGGCACAGGACTTACATGTCTGTTTCTGTGGAGAGAGAAGAAGACACGTTGAGAAGCTATTCTTTCTATCAAGTCGCATTTGGACAGGTTGGATGCCGTAAATGTCAAGTGGCCAAGTCATGAGGATGCCAACTTCTTGATTTTTTCAGTTTATTCTGTAGCTTACTAGTTAAGTTCTTTTAAATTTTTCTTTTTGTTCCAGTTCACATATACATTTTGAATACTTTGACATGGTCTAAGTGGTTCAGGTGCTTGACCATCATCAAGTACAGTATTGCTAAATAAGGTATAAACAGCTATGTCTCTTACACATCCATATAAAGACACATTTCGATTATTTGTATAGATATAAAAATACATATATAATTAATCATCTTTTTCTCATTCTGTCTCACCCAATAGATCCATGTTATCACTACTAGTAATTACCTAATAATTCAACTGAGTAGAGTAATTACACACAACAATATATGCGTGCTACTACTACTATTAATCATAGCCATTTTAAACAAAATAAAAAGAAACTTAACAATATAAAGAACCCATGGCATGAGGAAACAAATAAATGAACATGGCAATAAATCATAAAGACAGTAGACAGGAGGGGGGTTTCCCTCCACCTTCTGCAATGGTTTAATGGAACAACCAACTGCATTATGGTAGTGGATGGAAACTCCCATTAATTTGCATTTTCTTTTGAACATGTTCTCAAAATTGAGTTAAAATCTTTGCTACATTTGGGTGGACAGAGAGAGAGAGAGACACATACCCCAAGTATATGTCTTCGTGTTTCCCAAGTGAGTGACTCTGCAGGCAAACACTGCGTCTGAGCTTGGAGTGAAGGGCACGTGTCTGGTCAGATGGTAGTGCCAGTTCTCCTCAAAGGCCAGGTCAGTCTGCTTGGCTCCTGGAATCTCCTGTCCGTTACTGAGCAGGTCGATCTTGATTTCCGGTGGGTGGAAGCCGCTCACGTGACATATGAAAGTGTTGGGTTTCCCGAACTCTCCAGGTTTACGGCTGTACACCTGAACCTTGGGTGAAGCTACCGAGAAAACAGAACAATTGTCACACATGTACAGAAACGATTTGACGCTGATGAGCTGGCAGAGACTAAAAAAAGCCAGATTTCAATTACCTACTCTATTTTTGAAATTCTAGTTTCTGCCCATTTTCCAATCAAACTAGAATGCTGATGTGTTATTATCAACCACCACACTGACATATGCTAATAAAATGTTTAAAACAGCCTGGTGAATTGCAGGCTTTTCTTTGGGCAGCGGGTTCAGACCATCACTGTTTCTGTTTTACATTTAACGTTACGTCACAGCGCCTATGAAGACGCTCACGAAACCTAAGTAAACGTTTACTATTCTGAACACCGCCTTTAAGATATTAACGTTACTTTACTTTTAAGGGAACTTTTCCTTGGGCTATTTCTTCTTATTTGGTGCGGTTGTAGTTGTTAAACTGAACGGTAAATTTATTGGTCCTACTTACCAACTCATGAACTTCCGTGTAATAACACATCGCCATTTGTAAATACATCGTCAAGTACAGAAGACTAACGTTAGCCTACTTACCCTCTTTGGCCGTTGAAAGAGCCGCGAGCCAGAGTAGACCGACGACAACTGCGCAAACAAATGCCTTCATAATACCTTGTTTAGTATCTCTTTCGTGTACACTTGAAAATTTCTTGTCCTATTTGTCTAAATATGAGAGACTGTCCCGCTATCCAAATCGAAAGTAAATGTCTTTTCCGTCCGTGCCTGCTGGTAAACGGCAAAAAACAACGAGGCTATAACCCCGCCCCCCCAAACGGGCTTCGACCATAGACTTTTCTATGATTTCGACGTAATGTCCCGTAATTCCACCAATAGAAAAATCAAGAGGAACTGTTGCTAGGTAGAATTAATTCCGACATTTTGAACTGTGTTGCGCAGTTTCATCAAACAATCAAAACAATGTCTAGCTGCCTGCGAGTTGTTGGAACTTTGTTCGTAACTTTTATGGTTCATTAGTAGCCTACTATCTGTTATTCCTCACAGAAATACTAATTACATTGGATAGCCTTACTTACTTTAGATAGGCTAGATGGACGGACAGACAGACACCCTGTGTTTACAGTGTGTTGACAGACAAATTAACATATTCAACAGACACACAACAACATCTCAATTTATTCTGAGTCATATTCACCTAAATAACACCTGTTCCACTTTTTTAAGCAGCTAGTTCTTAAAATTACATTAGAGTTATGGACAAAGACTGCCGCTGAAACTGCCGCCATGATAATGAAACTGTGATACTCAGTGGCTCCTCTTTCAGCGAAGTCACTGATCTGGGTTCAGTGTGAAAGTGTTATGAAACAGAATACAACACTGAGGAAAGTCATTTTATTTCAGTTATGTGTAGCCTATACCTACTAAGTGACTTGTTTCTAGTGATAAAACAGCATGACGTAGTACAGTGAGGCACAGATCAGTCAGTCAGTGGAATAGTGATTTACACATGACTTTTAGCTTTAGACTGCCCAGTGAAGACCACCGTATGCACAATGCAGGTCAAGTGTGTCTCAAGTGGAGCCCTAAACTCAAAAGTCAACTTGTGAGTGCCTGACTCAACCCTTACATACTGTTTGGGTCAACCTTGACCCGTTTTGACATTTCACAAGAGTGAAAACACAACTGCCATTCTTTTGGCCCGATATTTGATGACTTTTCTAAAGTGACCCAAAGTCACAAGACTATAAAGGTACCTGAGCTGCCAATGCAGTGACTGAGGTTACGGTAGCATACGTACTGTCCAAGAGGTCGCTGATCCGGTCTCACAAGGTAGTTTGGGATAAGCAATTTGGTTATGTTGGTTGTTAATTAAAGCTAAATTACTCATCAATTACAGTATATAGGCCTAACATATATATATATATATATATATATATGATGGCTGTAGTGGTTATAAATAGTTATAAAACAATCACCCCACAGTCCCACAATTTTTCTATCAAATATATTTAAATAAAAAAAAACCCATTATGGCTGTTATGTTTTCATATCTTAGGTAAAACAGGACATGTTGTGTGATAGATGTTTTTTCTCCATAAGAGTGGTGTAAAAAGACATTCTCCATACTCTCTGAAACATTAAGGATTAATCACCCATTTATTAATGGCAGATTTATGCATTCTAAATTCATCTGTGTTCCACTTGAAGGTATTCTTTAGTCTTTCATACTGTGAATGTATAGAATATGAACAGTATGTATGGGTTAAATGTCTACACATTATATTGAGTTCCTTCTTTGTCCACCTGAAGTTACCATTGGCTTCATAAAGTCAAAAAGCAAACATATTGATCAATATCCCTGGAATAAGGAAGGTTGTTTAAAAAAAGACTGAAGATTTTTCAAGAGGCATTTATTTAATGGGTGTTAACAAATAATCTTAAATAACAAATCAAGAAAGCACACCCCATTCACGTATTATTGATTTGACCAATTACAATTTGATTGCCTCATTCAGGTAAAAGAAATCGATTGTCATTAAAACTAAAAAAATAACAGTTTGTGTACAGAAACAAACAGAAACAATTCAATTAAATCATACACTTTTCAGTATAAAAGGCTGGAAAATAAGTTGCAAACAATCTACCTAACACACAAGCGAAATGCTAAATACAAATGTCTCAAAGACCTGCAGCCCGCGCACTTTCTTATATTAACATAGTAAATGAAAATTTATTTTTAAGTTCCCTTAATATGGTGTTGACATTTGGTTTATGAGAAGAAAAGTCAGAAGTCAGAAGTCGGGAGAATCTGATCCTGTTGATTGAAGACATGATGAATGTACGCTGCAGTAGCTGACAAGCTGAGTTACATGTTTGGCTCTGTAAAAAAAAAAAAGAAGAAACACATAAATGTTTTTTTATCCATCCCATAAAAGCTGGTGAAGCAACCATTGCCACTAATGCTTTACATTGAATATATTTTGTGTCTTGAATTTTTGGATATTTAGTTTATCAAGTACAACTAACTTGATTTATTTTCGATTTCTATAATTATATACCGCTGTGTATTTTGCTACAAACCTGCATCAACATGCATATCAAATTTAAAAGAAAAACCTCTATTAATAAAATAACATTAACATGGACTTTTCAGCTTTGTCAAAGGTATGTGCTCTCTGAATGTTTTGACCTGCGTTGTTTCTTCCTAATGTCTCTTTTTATTGTTTACTTTGCTGGCTGCTGATAAACCACTTCTTGGTTATGAGAACATTAAACACACATTTGGGCTGATCCTGACTTACCCCACACATAATCATTAGTCTTATCCCCGTGAGTGACCTTGCAGACGAACTTATCCCCGTTCACTGGCGTGAAGTCCACATTCTTGGTCAGATGGAAGCGCCAATCCTGTTTGAAGGCCAGGTCGGTCTGCCTTGCGCCAGGGAGTTCCACTCCATCCTTCAGAAGCTGGATTGTGATGTCAGGGGGGTGGAAGCCACTCACATGGCAAATCAGGACGTTTTCCTTCCCATACTCTCCTGGGTTTCGGCTGTAAACCTGGACCTTGGGAGGAGCTAGAGGCGGCAACAACAAGAAGGAAATGATGTCAATCCACCAATGAACCACACAGTATGCCATTTACCTGCAATATGAAAACACTCCCCAGTATTTGTATGAGCGCCATTTTTACATTAAAACTAAAAGCACTCCGCTCTGAAATCCTTTAGGTTGTTGGTGGTATGGAAAGACAAACAGAAAATTACATCGAATTATTGATTGTTTTTCTTCTATAAAGCACACACTGCATCACCTCAAACTGTTTAATAAAGAATTTAGAGGCAATAACTTAAGTGAAAAGAGGGGAAACATGACAGTGCTTCTATACTGTGAACGAAGCATCTGCTATGGTCTTCACCGTCACCTCAACTCAAGTGAACCCCCAGAGCACTGGAAGAAATGCTTCACAGTCTTACCCTCCTTCACAAAACACATGTTGTGTTTTTATTAGTAACCTCATTGGAGGGATTTATTTCATTGAGAACTCCACCAGCATCTGTGTGTTCTGAAGCAGTGGAGGGTGCTGTTGCAACAGATTGGATTTACAGGAAATCGAAAGTAAATCCAGATTGTTGAGGGGAATTCCACCGAATAAAAAATATGTGTAACCTTTCTCTTTTCCATTTGATTCTTACATCAACTCTCACATCAGCCTCTCTGGCTTTCTAACAGATCATAAGCAGCTTTTTAAAGATGTAGGCCTACACCCTTATTGCCTGCCTTGTGTTGCCTCGTTTTCTTGTCTTTGTGTTGGATATCAAAACAAATTCATCTGTGATGTAGTTTACTTGCATTCAAGGTAAAAGGCAATTTTACTTTCAGACACAGTTTGTGATATTCTTCAGTTCTTCAGTAAAGGTACAGCAGGTAGACCAGAAAATACTTACTGTGTTTGGCGTCCTGAGCAAAGCAGACAGCTGTGAGAGCTGCTAGGCACAAAAGAATCCTCATGTTTGATCAATTCTTCTTTTGTAGTTGACAGAAACTCAAATGACAAAGAATCCTGCTGCGCACGATGCCTTCTGAGGGTAAAGTAAAGTGAAAGTATAGAGCAGCACAGATAAATAAAGTGCTGTGAGACTGCCCTTCACATGACACCAGCCAATTGTTTATTTCCATCACTCTGTTACTAGGTAGAATTTGGCCAAAGAGGTTTGTTCCATTGTGGACAGGGAAGGTTTGTGGAAACTCCCTGAAGACCCACATTTGCTACCTTCATAAGACTGCAGAGAAACTGTGTTTTTCTTTTAGCTTTTTTTGTGTACTAATGCTAACAACAGGGCAATCTAACAGCCACAACCACATGACAGGAAGAGTGTATCATATATTCAATCCCACAGTTTAAGAATCTCTTTGTTCCCTTATTTATTCCCTCGTCTTCTTTACTTTCTTTGTTCCTTCTTTCCATCCTCAATTTTCTTTATTTCTTCACATCTTCCAATCTTTTTTGCCTCCTCTTCTTCCAGTAATCCAATTGTATTGTGTATTTACAATGCTTTCTTTTTTGTTGTTCATATGTTTGCCTATGTTGTAACTAAGTCAAGTCGTGGTGTTCTTGAGCATTTGGAAAATAATTCAGATATTCTTTCTCTTAATTATTATGTATTTTTCTACATTTTATTTATTTTTAATGTCGGTTTTATTTGTATTTGTTTTGTCTTTGTAAGTTTCCACTGTCCTTTTGTGTGTGTGTGTGTTCAAAAATTGAAAAATTAAATTATAATCATATCATATTGTCTTTTGATAACAGCTAAAGACCACATAAAAGACCACATTTTTCTGGTCGGCATCCTAAACACAGCACAAGTAGCCAACTCTGGGCCCTGATCAACAGGCTATGCTAAGCCTTACTCACTGAGCCCTCACTGACCTTAAATGACACATATGAACGGGTGAAAGAAGTGTAAGGGCTCCAGATACTTGATTAGGCGTGGGGCAAACTGGTTAGAGGCATTTCTTTAGAGACATTAGAGCTCAGCTCAACACAGAGCATGTTGCTTTGAGTATGTTGTTATCGCCCGCTTTCTTAATGTGTAATGTTTTTATGATTTTGGATTTCCCCTGCCAAAGTGTGAGTCAGTCAGAATACTTTAATGACAGTCACATCTGTAAATGTGCAGGCACTGACAAAGATTAGCATTGCCAAGATGGTGAACGAAATTGTTCACAAACGAACCAATCCAGTACATTATCTGGAAAGACAGACTTCTATAAATAACTAGAATGATATTAAATTGAGACCCAATCAGTATAGCATCTGTTAAAGAAAAAAAGTAATTCTGACATTGGAATTCAGAATACCATGAAAAAGCTCTCTTGGCATGGCAGGCACTGTTTTGGAACAATGGTGGCATTTTCATTGGCTCCTTATAGGTGCCACGTGTCTTAGTCATGTGTCACTGAGTCACCCTGAATGGTAGAGCCTGAATGTTTGTTTTTTTGTTTTTTTTTACAATCCTTAAAGAAGAGCTGTGCATTGTTTATTTCAGAAGGAGGTTGTTTTCTCCCCACATGCTATGTTGACATGCGCACACACATATTTGATCCTGTAAAATACTCAAGGATAATGTAAATGAATCATGTTCTATGTTCTAACAGTTTTGTTTCAGAAAACCTGAAAACAGACCTGCATTGTAATCTTGAAATGACTGAATTTAGCAAATTATGAGAACAGCTAAATAACATTATCTTTGAACCTACGTTTCATATAGCTACACCGATAAACCAGCAGATGTCCTCATGCTTTCTATGTCTCAGTGTAAAACAACTAATAAATCATGCACTGTAAGGACTGTAAATTAGTGAATTGCATTTGATGTCTAAACTTGTTTCTGTTTTTTAGTTTCTTTATTACGTTCCCAGCCAAAGACAGTAGTATAAGTATATAGTAGAATATAGTAGAAGTATATTCTCAGCATTGTCTATTGAACATATTCATTAAAGATGAATTATTGAAAAAAAACTTTTGAGAATCTAAGAAAAACAAATATTGAAATGATATGCGTTTCTTAAAACTTGTTTTCGATTTATGTAACACACTCCATACCAGTTGGTGGCGGTAATGCACCAGCTCGTTGTTTGCCAACCGCCACTGAAGCTCTAAAAGAAGAAGACAGGTCTCCCAGCTGTGGATAACGTACGCAGCCTTATAAACGCCAACACTTCCGTGTTTTCCAGGTTCCACAGCGACTGCCTTTATTTACCCAGCTGAGAAAGCGTTAGAGTGACAAGATGAGTAGTGAAAAATACCCCAGGTCCTCTATTGAAGACGACTTTAACTATGGCACAAATGTCGCTACAGCCAGTATCCAGATCCGTATGGGTAAGTAAAGTAGCACGGTGGTTGACAGCACCGTGCCACGTCAGTTAACGCTAATCAGTTAACGTTAAATACTGTGGAAACAATGGTCACTGCCGTTGATCTGTTGGTATTATAGCTGTTGTTAACAACCATTCATTGCCTACTGCTTCCAGCACAGTGTTAGCTGGATAGCACTGGTTTGAACTTAACGTTAACTTAAGCTAACAGTTAAACCATTACACTGTACACGTCGTTAGCATTGATGTGTTTACCTTGGCTTGAGCGAGCTGCTTGTACTGGCTCAAACCTGTCCTGTCTGCCCTGGTTGAGACTGCACTATATAGCTAGCTGTCACGTTAAAGCAAACTTGTTTTTGCTCACACAAACACACAAGTCGCCCCCCCCCCTTCATGTTCAGGAAAGCGTAACGTTACACATCCAGCCAAAGGTTCAGCTGCTGTAATTCTGTGTGTCCTCTGCTGTCTTTGTTGGTCAGACTTCCTGCGGAAGGTGTACACCCTCCTGAGCTTGCAGATCATCCTGACCACCGCCACCTCTGCCCTCTTCATGTTCTCTACAACTATCAAGGAGTTTGTCCATGCCAGGTGAGGAAGGGCTGATTACCTTCTTACTAAGATGTACATAAGCACACCTACACTTACCGGTTGTTTGACCCACGGTCTGGTTTCTTCCTCAGTCCTGCTGTGGTTTTGGTTTCGGCTCTGGGCTCTCTGGTTCTTCTGCTGGCCCTGGCTGTGTACAGACACCAACATCCAGTCAACCTCTACCTGCTGCTCATATTTGTAAGCTTTAGTTGTTTCAAGTGTTTTATCTCACTGGCTCACCGTTACGGACCCTAACGTTGAGATGGAGGTATGTAGAGTAGCCAAAAAACTGCACTCAAGTAAAAGGAGGGATGCAACAACCCGATAGTAACTCGATTGTTGGTGACAAGGGGGCCCATCTATTCAATAACCTGCATATTACGTGATGCATCAGCAGTGTGCCGGTAGAACCGAACATTTTGCTACATGTAACATAACACAAGCAACGTTTGAGTCAGTGTGATGTCGCCTCACATATAATAGAATGATTCCCTGTCTCTTCCTCACAGTGAGGAATACAGTTTATTCACTTTACACTGGTATAGGATCAGTACTCGCCACTGGCAGACCCCTAAAGCACAGGTAGTGGGACTGAAAAAGGTAGATCCTAAGTAATAGTGCTTTGCAAAAACAAGTGCTCAAGTAGAAGTAAAAGTAGTCATCAAAATATTTGGGGTAGAGTAAAAAAGTATTTACTGACAAAATTACTTATAATTTATAAAATGAATAAAAAAATACAGCTTCCCCAAATCTTTTATTTGATGGGGATATAACAGCAACAGATGGTCTTCCTCAGGAAAATGTAAAGAAGTGACAAGTCATCATCTCCTGGTTAGATATCCTGCCACATATTCACCAGGCCAATATTCCCAGTCTGTATCTCAAGAGTGATCACAAAATATCACAGTAATATTAAACTCTATTTAGTACACCAATTGTTTAAATCAAATCAATATCACTTATCAAATCAAATCAAATATCAAATCACCCTTTGCCTTCAAAACAGTATCAATTCATCTAGGTACACTTGCACAAAGTCAGGGATGTTGTAGGCATATCGTCAGATGGATGATTAAACAGTTACACCAAACGGGCGCTGATGATCATAAATTCAATATGTAGGTTGAAACAGAAACAGCTATGTAAAAAGAATAAAACTGGTTCAGGAACAGCCAAACTCTAATAATAATAATATATGATAATTAAAAGTAGCGGAAATAATGTAACAGGGTAAAAGTAGATTTTTCTTCAAGATACTCAAGATTAAAAAGTATGCTGCATAAGAATTACACCAACCAAGTACAATTTGCTCAAAGATATTACTTCAGTACAGGTAACGGAGTAAATGTAACTCATTAATATCCACCTCTGCATTTAGACTAGCTAGTCAGTGAAAATAACAGTACAGTACAGTGTACATTTATTCCTTCCATTTATTTCCATATTTGCCATTTTAATTTTGTGATGCTAGATTAGCTGCTCAGTGACTTTACAGTAACTGGTTATTTGATAAGCTGATTAGCGTGTAACTAATTGTGTGTTGTTTTCAGACTCTGCTGGAGGCAGTTTCTGTGGCCACAGCTTGTAAGTAACTTCTGATGGAGTCTGTCAGTCACCATCCTTTGAGCCTGTTGGCAGACTGTCCTGACTGCAGAGCTTTTCTCTCCACAGTGACCTTCTATGAATACTCCACTGTACTGCAAGCCTTGTTCCTGACCTGTGCCGTGTTTGCTGGACTTACAGCCTACACCTTCCAGTCCAAGAGAGACTTCAGCAAAATGGGAGCAGGGTGAGTTTGTCAGGGCTGCTGCTCAATGCTGATTATCAAAGCTGCTGTATTCCCCCTCCAGAGGGAGTCACTGTCAGACGTTTAATATCTGATCTGTTCTGTCCTTACAGGCTGTTCGCCTGCCTGTGGATCCTCATCATTGCAAGCTTCATGAGGGTAGGTGGAACTGCCAGACATTAATTTGCCTAATTTCATATGAAGGAAATAAAATGAAGTGAAGGAAAGGGAGAGATAAAGATAAATAAGAAGGCTGCATTCAAGGGGCTGTGCA